GGGGAAATTCTGGTTCGAACTGGAAGTGTCAACCTAACCTTCTCCCAGTCGGCCAGACAAAACTTATATTATTAAAACTGATTGAAAAGACATATGTGCCCTTATTTAAGTTAGGAGCACTGGTTCCAACACAACATTACAGATCAGCAACATTAATCTAGGTAAAAAGGCAGAAATACCCCTACGCTAACAGTTTGAAAGAAAAGGTAGTGAAATTATACCAGGTTCCCCTACCTTTTCTTTCAAAACAACCACAGCCTAAGCGAATTTGTGAGATTTAAGCTTGGACTTGGAGACAGTGTCTTTTTGTTTTTTGGTGTTTGGGGATCGGTGTAGGGCTTTGAAGCTATTTAAGGTCGGGTAGGAGTGAGAGGGTAGAACTTTAATGTGTTTGGGTTTGCTTGGGTTAATTGGAGTTGTTTGAACTGTCTGATTCTTGTCAACCTTGGATGTAATTGTCTTGGTCTTGGAGCTTTAGCATGTATGGGGTGAAAGTTTTCTTTTTCTTCTCTTGGGTGCTTCTGGTCACCTTTCTTGTACCTTGGAAAGGTGAACACTTGTGATATGCTTCAAAAGAGGAGGCCTCATATGTGCCTCTCCCCTCATGTGTGCTTCCTTCGTTTTGCGAATGGTGAATCCCTCCCTCGCTTACTGATCCACTGTCCTTATGTGCTTTTGTTTGGAAGTCTATTTGCTCTCTGTTTGGTTGCAGGTGGAGCTCCCCACAGCATGTAGTGAGCCTCTTCAACCCAAACTTCCTAAGGCAGCCGACAAAGAGGGGAACAATGTGGAAATCAGTGGACAGCTGTGGCATGGACGATTTGGGAGGAAAGGAATGCAAGAATATTTAATGGCAAATGCAGACCAAAAGAAGTGTTGGTGGAAGCTGTAAAGATAAAAGTTGCTCATTGGATAAAAACACTCGAGCTGTTCCAAAGCTTCTCTGTGGCTGATATCCTGCGGGCTTGGAAAAAAGTGGCATGTTCAACTAAGAAGAAAGAAAAGATGGTGATGGAATGGAAACCCCCTGCTGCAAATAAGTTAAAGTTGAACTTTGATGGCAGTTCCATAGGGAATCCGGGATTGGCAGGKATAGGGGGTGTGTTCAGAGACTCAACAAACAAAGTTCTGGCTATGTATTCAGGGCCTATAGGGGCAGGTGGCTCCATAAAGGCTGAGCTTCATGCTCTTTTGCAGGGATTAAAACTAGCCAAACAAGCAGATTTTAAAAATTTGGAGGTTGAAGGAGATTAAAAACTGGTGATTTCTTGGTCCAGTTTCAGAGGTAACGCTCCCTGGATTTATAGACAATCCTTGCGAGAGATTGAAAGTTTAGCAAGGGAGCTCAATGCCACTTTCACTTGGATTAGAAGGACTGCAAATGGGATGGCTGACTTGCTAGCAAAACAAGGAGTGTACAGACAAGATCTATTCTGGGTAGTTTTGTAATTCTTTTCGATTGTTGTGTTTGTTTTCTCCTGCTGGCTGTAATCTGTTTTTTTTTTTTTCAACTTAATAAAATTTATTCTTCTTTACTGATAAAAAAAAAAGAACCTGTAAACCTTAGTAAGGAAAACCTGACAACATTAATTGCCTGGGTAAATATACTGGATTCTATTTGTAATAATGTCTTCCCATATTCACAAGCAAATTGGATTTTGAGAAACTAGTTTTGCAGCCTGTAACACCAAAGAAAGTTACAAGCGACTGCCTATAAGGTGAAAGAGCACAAAGCATCCTCCTTTGGAGGACCTCACAGGTGTAATTTTCAGATGGAAAACTTTCCAAAGAAGAAAAAAAGCCTTAATGCCTTATTTTTAACGGGGTAGGCCCCTGCTAGTCTGCCTTTACCAGGCCACAAAAGGGGGATCTCCTAGTGATGCCACAAACTTGAAAAAAAAGAAGCGGATTACAATAAACCACTAGGATAGAAAGGACATTTTCAAGAACAGAGAAGTCCAAAAAGATACCTTCTATGAAATTAAGTTCAATCATTTCACTCATTTCCCTGTCCTTTTACCCCTTCTAAAACCAAAATTCTAACAATTTCCTGCAACAGGGCTTGAGAATAGATAAAAAGTTGGCTCTGGACACATGGAAATACCTGGAAGTGCCTGAAGCCAGTCCATGATCATTATCCCCATTTCAGAATAGATTTTTCTCAATATTTATTTGTTTTCCTTCAAAGCTTTTTCTGTTTCATTCTTATCCCCCCTCCTATGAATCTTAGGATGCTTTTCACCCTCATGCGACATGACCTATCGTTTGATTTAGCATCTACAATCTCCTCATTATGTTTAATATGTGAACAGCGACATCAAAGCTTCCCAGTTTGGCAGAAATTGATGTTTCTATGGGAAGTTATGGTTTTCAAGGAGAAGCATTGGGATCCCTATCTGATATCTCCTTGTTAGAAATCATTACAAAGGCTCGTGGCAGGCCAAGTGGATATCGCAAGGTTATAAAGGCAAGTACTTGTCTCTAGCTACCGGTTTTATTGGTGTTACTTTCCTCTTATGACTTCTTGGATCATCTATGATCCAACTTTGTTACAATGATGCTTGTGATTAATATACATGTTGTTCTCTTCTATCTCAGGGATGCAAGTGTTTGTATCTTGGACTTGATGAGAGCAGACAAGATGTAGGTACAACAGGTAAAACATGTTTATAGGCGCAAAAGAAATTTGTTTGCAAGGCTGGGTTTTCTATTTTTGTCTTGGAAGAACATAATTATTGATTTCTATGTTTTATTATAGAATTCTTATTTTAGAGGTGAAAGTTTTTTTCAGTTTTTGCTGTTCCGAAACACCTGGAGAATATAGGGATCATCAATATTAACAACCCAGAAAAGACTATGATCTTGATTATGATACATTTTGGGTTTGTAAGATAGCAACATCAGAAGAAATCAATAATAAGAAGCTTAAGCAATAAATTGTGTATCAACAATAGGCTAAACAATGTTCCTGCATCAGATGCTAGGCTATCTTCCAAGAAAGGAGAAACAGTTTGAATGTTAGGAGCCAATATATTCTAAACAGGAAGAGAAGAACTTGATGATTTTATTGTGGCAGTGAATTTGATGCAACTGCTCATAAGCCAGAATTTTAGTGACCGTTTGATAGGGATTTCACACAACAGCTTCTGGTCTTACATGATCTGAGAAACCCAGAAAGCGGTTAAGCCATGTTTGGTGAAAAAAACAGAAAGCCAAAAATACGCTTACATGAGCTGAAAAATCAACTTTCCAGTAAAGCTATCTTAGGTAGTTTCTCTGAAACAGCTCAGTCAATGCAGCTTAATCAATGCAGGAGCCCTCCCAAATGGGCCCTTATTTTTTTGGTGGAGCTCTGTTTGTTAACATCATTATTATTATTTTGTTAAGTGGAATAAGATCATATCATATTGGTTGACCATAGAATTGAAAGACCAGAGGAGAAGCTGGAGAAAATTGGGTGGTTTCTAGTGTGGGTCCCTCGTGGTCCAAATGGGCTAATGGACCACACTAGTAGTAACCACATGCCCCTGGGAGACATGGCAATTTAATTTAAACCATGAATTTTTTTTTTTGACTCAACACATCTTTGCAACAGAATTTTCTCTCTTTTTTAGTCCAAATCATCTATTGCATCAATTAGGTTTCTTATATTCCCTCTTTCACTTTCTTTATTACCATACCCTGGCTTAATATATCTAAATCACACTATTTGTTTTCAAAATTAATGTGACGAATTATCTCTGAATTCAAGTTTCCTTTCAATAATTTTATTAAAAAAATTAGTAGATACTACAATTGCTGTATGCTGTATGCAGAGATGGCTTTTCTGCTCTTTTCTTTTTTCTTTTTTCATCTTGATTAGCTTTTCAGACGAATTTTGATAACCTGGTTCAATTTGTCACAGTGATTGTTCGTGATTTATTTTATAACCAACCTGTTCGGAGAAAGTATATGCATTCCAGGTTACTTCTTATCTTGAGATTTAATTTCCTCTCTGGTTTGCTCTAATTCTTTTAAAAGATTATTTCCAATTGTCTGCACTTAAACCATTCAAATACACTGATTGAATGCTCTCATCATTTGCTCGCGTATCAACCTTGGAAGCCCTAAGAAGGTCTTGCACTCAGTCAAAAAATGTGTTTTGCGAATTGCACTTGTGCACCCACAGGTTTTCTTCAAAGTCATTGATATTGAGAGGTACTTCTTTTCTTACAGAAACAAGATTAGAGGTTGTGTTATCTTACCTGTAATTTAGCTGTTGTTTTATGTGAATGCAGTGAGGATGAGTTGCTCTGCACACATTCTTCCTTGTCGCCATTGTCATTACTGTTGAACAGTTTTGGCTCTGAAATTTCTAGCTGTCTACACAAACTGAATTTTTCTCAGGGTGTATTGAAGCTTTCTGGATATTTATCCGGTCTTGGTGAGATTTGCTCAACAAAGGTAGATGTGATTCATAACAATTGAATCTCTTCTAATTCACTATCTTCTCCTCTAATCATTGGATTTTTTTTTGCAGGCATACCAGTATGTCTGTATCCGTTGTGTACACACATACACAATGTCCATGTTTTTTATTTTCCTTCTGTGGCTTCATCAATCATGCATATGATTCTGGCCTTAACAGTTATCCAGACATCAACTCACGGTTTATTTGCAAGGGTCCAATTCATAAACTGCTTAAAGATGTGGCAGATTCTTATATGTGTCTGGATCTGTGGAAAGGTAGTTCTGGGTCCCAAAATGGGAAAAGAAATAGGCCACAGACATATCCAACCTATATCCTAAATTTTTGTTGTCCACGCTCCAGCTATGACTTGACCTTTGAACCATCAAAAACATTTGTTGAATTCAAGGTAATAATTCTCTTTATTCATTCTTTATGATTCCAATTTGTTTCACATTCAGCGAAAGAGATTCCTGTTTTACGATTTGCAAGTGGTAACTGGCTGGATAGAGAAGGCAAACGATGGGTTATGGGCATACATTAATGAACGAAGGCATTTCAAGTGGCTAACCCAAGGAATGGATGTGTGTGTCCGGTGGGTTAAAAGATGTGCTAATTCATTTGCAGATGCTTTGGCCAAGCAGGGGGTGGGAAGAAGTCAATTGTTTTGGGCTACTCTGTAAATTTCCTTTTGGGGGTGTGATAAGAGGATTTACCTCCCCCCACCATTGTATTTTAAACTTTTTTCTTAATTAATGAAAGTTTTCTCTTATTGATCAAAAAAAAAAAGAGATTCCTGTTTTACTGTTATCTTCTCTGTGCTTTCCTAGTTAACTTTTCATGGATAGATTAATGCCAAAAAGTGTAAATGTTTCCTGTTTATTGATGTCGAAGTTTATGAAGGCATCTAGTTATCCACTTGAAAGTTAAGATTTGCTGATGGCAGTATTTTTGTAATTTAATTTTTATTTAAACACTAAAGTAGTTCTTGAGTTGAGTCGACAGTAAAGAATAGTTATATTAAGTGATTGAATACATATGCATGGGTTTGTATGATACACTGCTGTAGAACAAGTTGCCATGTAATGAAACCTAACAGTAATTACCTAAAACAAAACTCAAGATCTATATACAATTCATGTAGAATGAGTCTGAGAAGTATAAAACCGAATTCCCTGAAATCTTTGTGAATGGACAGCCTGGAGGAGACCATGCTTACTAGCTTCCAGAGGACAATCTTAAAAAGGAAATGCTTTGCTGTAAAAAAAATGGTGCTCCTCCTATATCATCCATGTCTATGTTTGCAATTCTCAAGAGTTCCTTTTGATGTCCTTGGTGGGAGCAATTGTTGAAGGCTCTAATTTAAGGCTTTGTTAGACCCTACCGTTGTCCAAACTGATTTTACTACATAAAATTGAGACTTGAGAGTTTGAGAGTCTTATAACTAAAGATCTATCAGCCACGGGATTTTTATATCAGAAAATTACCAATAAGGCATCATGTCAATGGGCCGATAGATATGAACTGAACCAATTATGCCAGTTCTGGTTCTAGTTTTCTTTTGCCCAATTATAATTGGGTTGGCACATCTAGACATTTGCTTTCTGCTCCTTTTCATGATGTTCATAGTCAGTTGGAGAAGATATAGATTATGACTTTTCTTTGGAGACTATGCCTTCTGACCAGGTAGTACTTTTTATCATGGACTTTAGGAACATTCTTGCATATCATGTTATCATTTTTTTTCTCAACCCCTATGAAATTTCAATCAATATGGCCATCATATTCTTCTAAGATATTGAGGATTTTCTTTCTATTTTTTTATTGAAATTTTCTTTCTATTCCCTTCAGCAAACACCATGTTCTTTTCCTTTTTCCAGGACTGGGCTCCTATACTTTCCTTTATTGAACAAGCTGTCAGACATTTTTGGAGTCAAATCTCAGTACAAGGTTGATTTACAGAACTGCATATTGCTATTTTTCCTCCACAAGGATGACACTTTCTTTTAGATGGACTTTGAATTCCATTTAAATCTATCTTTTGACTTTTACATAGGAGAATACCATAATCATAGTGATGAAGTATCAAGAAAAGACAAAATGTGGAAGGCAGAAAATGATATTATCTTGCCAGCACCAGGTATCACCTAATACATTTTCCTCCTTGATATGTATAATGAGCATAGCTACAATTGACAAGGGTTAGCTCATTGCTGGCACCGGGTATCACATGTAGTATCAACTTCTCACTGATTCAGTCTTTCTTGTCATCACTAACTACAGAATGATTTTTGTACGAATAGTGTGCCTTGTCCAAGGTCCTTTCTAAAGATTGTTTCAAACCCTTACCTGCAGATATATCAGCATGCTCTGAAATTGTGGAAAAGAAGTGCAAGGTCAAATATTATCATAAATCTTTGAACCACAATTGTTCCTCTATGGAATTTGCATCTGAAGAGGCCAACTGTTATGAACAGAAAAAACATAAAATGGCCTCCAAAAAATTACAAAGAAATACTGCAGAAGTCAAAGGACAAAATGTAAAGGCAGAATATGTACCCTCAAGTTATCATTCTTTGCAGGACATGGTTTCCAATTCATGTGATCCTTCCATAACCAAATCTATACCAGTAGTTAATCAAGAGAATGGTGATGATCTTTTATGTGTAAAATGTAATGCTTTGACAGAAAGATTGGCTGCTTCACAGACTGCCACAGATGATGTAAAAAAATTTATTTTAGGACATAAGCAGGGAAATGAATCTCTCAAAGTTGATGTCATGGGTGAAGAATCAACAAGAACCCTGTTAACATGCAGTGATTTTGAATACAGAAATGATGTAGAAAGGGTTTCATTTCCTTCAGGATGCACCAGAGATTTTGAGAAGTCCGTTTTGCTGCGTTGTCCATCACTGCAAAGTGGACCTTATGATGCATCACTGTCTGTGAATCATGAAGAATTTGAATTTCACATGGATGAACTCTGTTCCAAAAGAACATTACCTGTTCTTCGAGACATGATTGCTGTTGTGGATACTGATGATGGTAACGCGAGTTCTGAGTTCTTTGCAGAAGCTTCATGGCGGGACAATGCAAGTGATTCTCCTCTCTCTTTTAATAGTGTTACAAAATGCAGCATACATACAGAACTAGATGGCTTGTCAGGGAGCTTCATGAAATCACATCCTTCTGAAAGGGATTATTTCACTGAACAGAGTAACTTCCAAAATAATACCCTTGCAAGGTTCAGGAAAATAGGTTCCGGTCATTGTTCAACAGATTTTAATTGGTATTCTGAGTCCCCATACTTGAAGATCAGGAATCCATCAGAGAATCTGGAACATTTTAATGATAAATATGTTGCTGAACTCAATTGCCGGTCCCGTGGAAGTGATACTTCTTGGAAGTTTAGAGAAAGGAAAGACAAACTTGACTTTGGTTATGATACTAATAATGTCACTGGTGGAGATTACCTTTCCTTGAACGCTGCAAATACTGCAGTAAATGATCAAACATTTCTCTGTCATGAGCAATGTTTAGATGATATTATCTTTGAACGAAGTGCTTGTTCTGATAAATTAACTAATGGAAAGGATTGGTTATGCTTAGACTCTTTTGATATGGAAACAGCAGATAGTTGTTCAGAACAAGTATTTCACATTCCTTCACCTAATGATTACAATAGGGGAAACAATCCAAGAAATCACTTGGGGTCTAGAAGTCATATGTACTATCAAGTTCTTAAGAAAAGATCAAAGAGAAGCCTTTCAGCCCCACCATTTTATAAAGGCAAGAAAAAGTTACATTCTATACAAAACAAATTGAGAACCACTGCAGGAGAAGGTGAAGAACAGATCATCCATAAGGCCTCTACTTTACCAGGTTTGCTTTTGGCAAGTAAAACCCTTATTGTGTTCCCTGGACATTATGCAGCACTAGTTATGGCCTCTTTTTACTTTTTGCAGAAAGAAAGCAATTTGAGCATCCATCGCATTCTTGCCATATGTCTCACCAATATTTTGAACAGAATCTAGTTGATGATTCATTGTACTTTTCAAGGTAATACGGTTCACATGTCCATCCTAAAAGGTCATGTTAGTCATGAAATGCATCTCATACCCTTTCATCTTGATATTTCTTCAGAACTCACATGGAGGATAGGCCACATGACAGACAGTATATGATTGATGTCCAAGAGAGTGATGACTTCAGGAAACCTAAATATTTTGAGATGTACAATACAGATTTAGTCGAAGGTAATTTTATCACCATCATCATCAAAGCTTTATCCCTACTGTATGGGGTCGGTTAGTTGAAGGTAAATTTATAACATATATAATCTACTATTGTCAAACATTATGAATTACCTTGCCAAACATTTCAAAAAAGAAAAAAGAACAAGGGGCAGAGCCCCTTTTCTATTTAATGTGTGTGCTACTGCATGGAGGAAAAAAGAAAACTCTTTATTCTTCCTTCTTTTTTCTCTTCTTAAAACCCTTGGAATCTCATCTCCTTTTTAGACTTTTATAGATGGGTTAAAACCAAGGTTCGGAATTTCGACACATATCGGGCCGTATCAGTGATTTAAAAGGCGCGCTTGAGGCGTAAGGTGAGGCACATTCCAGAGTAGGCGCCTCTCATGGGTCAAGGCGGCCAGACTTTAGAAAAGTGTTCACCTTTGCTCCTAAGGCGTGCACCTTAGGCCAAGCGCCAGGTGGTCGATGCATGGTTTTCACCCAAATTGTCTCAGATTCTCAGACTCTCTCAGTCTCAATCGAAGTATCGAACAGCAAGTTCAGAGCCCCTCAGCCCCCGGATTCTTCTTGGATCATCAAGTTTAGGCCACCTTCAAAGTTTGATCATCAGAGGCCATCTCTCAGTCTCAGTTGTCTCAGTCAAACAGCAAATGCAGCGTCTTCAGGCATTCAGCAGTTTGGCACAGAAAAATATGGGCTCCACCCAATCTTTTTTCTTTTTTTTCTTCATTGTGTTTCTTCACTTTTTACACTGAAAACAGGGGTTCCGCCTGTCCCCTTCTTCTTCTTCTTCTTCTTCTTCTTCAATACAGATTGAAGTATTGAACCTTCAATGAAAATGAAAGAAAGAAATTAAGCATTAGGCATTACTGATTTTTATTTCCTTGGTTAGCTATGTTAGTTGATTTGTTTTTTGTTTCATTCTATATTTTTATTTTGATTGATTATTAAATATTAATTTAGTTTTCCTCTTTTTTTTTTTTTGTACAACTAGATATGGATGAAGGCAATACTTCTCATGAAATTAGTAGGAGAGATCCAGCATGGAAGTATTGCTCTCTACAAGACCCTAATAATACAAACTCAGTCACTTGCAAGTTCTGTGGGAAAGTGACTAATGGAGGAATCTATAGGGCAAAAGAGCACATTGTTGGTGGTAGGATGAATGTAAAGGATGTACCAAGTGCCCTAAAGAAGTTAGGGAAGAAATTTTGGCATATATGCAAAAGAAAAGAACGGTAAAAGAGAATATGGTGATGGAAGAAAGGGATAGGATCCCTGATTTTGATGATCAAGAGAATATGATTGAAATTGAAGATGATGATGTACAAGTTCGTTGTGTTGGTGGTAGTTCTAATTCATGTCCTAGGCCTTTTACATCCATTGGATCAAGTTCCAAGCCACCCATTAAAAGACAAAAAAGGGCCTATGGATAAGTTTTTGACAATACTTAGTCCGAAACAAGTTGTAGAGATGAGAAGGGAACAAAAAAGAATGAAATAAACCACCATCAGTGAAATATATAATAAAGAAGGGAGAGAACAAGTTTCTATACGTATTGTTAGGTGGTTATATCAAGCGGGTATTCCCCTAAATACCATTCGCTTGAAAAGCTTTGAAACTATGTGGAAGCAATTGGGCAATTTGGGCCTGGATTAAAGATCTCAAGCTATTATGAAGCGAGGGTTCCTTTCTTGAAAAAGGAGGTTGATTACATGAAGACATTATTGCAGCATCATAAGGAGGCATGGGAAAGGTGGGGGTGTTCTTTAATGTTTGATCGATGGACCAATAGAAAGGATAGAACCCTAATCAATTTTTTGGTTCATAGCCATGCTGGGATGATGTTCATAGAAAGCATTGATGCATCGGGTGATATAAAAACAACTGAGAAGTTGTTTAATTTCCTTGAGAAGATGATTGAGAGGATTGGTGAAAAGAATGTCATTCAAGTGATTACCGATAATGCTTCAAACTATGTTTTGGGCAGGTAAATTTTCTAACTTGTTTGTTTTCTTTACAACTTTTACTTAGATTTTATTGTCTCGTTCCTTAAATTATTATTTTTGTGTTATTAGGAAAATAATTGATGGCTAAGTATCCTCATTTGACTTAGACACCGTGTGTTGCCCATTGTATGGATCTCATTCTGGAAGACATTGGCAAGTTAGCTATTGTCAAGAGGACCATTGAGAGGGCTATAGCACTAACGGGGTACATATGCAACCATCTGGGCCTATTGAACTTAATGAGAAAGTTTACAAGTCAAAGGGAATTGATTAGGTTGGCCAAAACCCGCTTTGCTACTTCCTATCTTACATTACAAAGCATTTTTAAGCAAAAGAGGAACTTGAGGGAGATGCTCAATTTTATTGAGTGGAGTGATAGCAAGTGGGCAAAGGAAGCCAAGGGTAAATGGGTTGCGGAGACATCAATGATGCCTTCATTTTGGAATAACATTGTATATATTCTTAAGGTGTGCAACCCTCTTGTTCGTGTCTTATGCTCGGTGGATCGTGAAAAAAGCCGGCTATGGGTTACATCTATGAGGTTGATAAAGCAAAGGAAGCAATTCAAAAGGCATTTGATGGTAAAAGGGAAAAGATCTCAGCATAGTTGTCAAGGCAACGCCTAGGCAACAAGGCGCCCTTTGAGGCTCGCCTCGCCTAATCGCCTAACAGTTTTCTACTTCCTATTATTAAATACTTTTATTATTCATTCTTTTTTTTTGAGATTATAATTATAAAATAGACATTATTAAACTAAAATAATCATTTTGTGTGTTTATATACTATTTTTTTTTATTTTCTTATTTATTAGGGCCTAATCAACACAAACATTGCTAAATGTTGTATTGAACCCTCAAAGACTTAAAAACCTAAACCAATAAGGAAGAACTAAAAATTTTATCTAATCAACACATTTTCCTCTTCCATATTTTCTTCTTCTTCTTCTACTACTACTACTACTACTACCAATACTTTTGTTATAATTCGGCCTGCCTTTGAGTTTTGTTAGTCTGATAACAGCCAAGAAGAAAGAGGAAGAAAGAAGGAAGAAAGAGAGAGAGAAAGGAGGAGAAAAGGAGAGAAGAAAAGTCTGGTTCGAATTAGGGAAAAGTCACTCTCCCATTCAGCCTGACATGTTTTTATATTATTAATATAATGGAAAAGACACATGTGCCCTTATTTAAGTGAGGGACACTAGTTCTAATATAATATTACAGATTAGCAACCTCAACATACATAAATACCCCTACACTAACACTCCCCCTCAAGCTGGTGAGTATATATCATATAATCCTAGCTTGTTACATATGTAGTCCACTCTTCCCCGACTCAACCCATTTGTAAATAAGTCTGCCCACTGGTTTCCTGTATTAACATATGCAGTGTCTATCACTCCATTCAGCACCTTCTCTCTCATAATATGTGCTTGGTTCTTTCATGAAACACCAGATTAGAAGAAATATGAACTGCAGCCTGATTGTCACAAGAGAGCTTCATTGAAGTATTAGTGTCGTATCCTATCTCCTGTAGAAGGTTCCTTAGCCACACTAATTCACAAGCAGTATGTGCCATAGCTCTATATTCTGCCTCTGCACTGCTTCTTTCCACGACTGTCTGCTTCTTACTTTTCCATGTCACCAGATTACCCCCCATAAAAGTGCAATAACCTGTGGTAGACCGCCTATCAGACATAGAACCAGCCCAGTCAGCATCAGTATACCCTTCTATTTC